CGAGACGGGTAGAAGCAGAGAGAGAGAGAGGGAGACACAATCTGAAGCAGGCTCCAGGCTCCAAGCTGTCAGCACAGAGCCCGATGTGGGACTCAAACCCATGAACCACGAGATCATAACCTGGATTGAAGTTGGACACTTAACTGACCGAGCCACCTAGGCACCCCAGCAATTTTCTTAATGTTAGGTGTTGACTTCCTTAATGATTTCCTTGTATTTCTTCTATCTGTGGGACGGCTTGATAGAATCCATTTTATTAATACCAACAAATAGTTGTTTCATACCCCATGTGTAAGCCAAAAGGGCATGCTCATAGGTCTGACCATTCTTGGAGTTACTTTCTTCAAATTCACCAAACACCAGCAGCAACAATCAGGACAGCACAGTCAGCCTGAGATGTACCTGTAATCATGTTTTCTATAAAGTCTGTGTCCTGGAGCATACTGAGGATCACATAAGACTTGCTGTCTTTAATTTTCACAGGGAGGGATCAATGGTGATGCCATGGTCACATTCAGCTTTCAATTTATCGAAGATCCAGGAGTACTTGAAGGAGCCCATTCACATAAAAGCAGCTGCTTTCTCATATTTTTCATCCCATCACATTTGTGATCAAGTGGCCAGCAGTGGCAGACTTGTTTTCCAACAACAACCAGTGTTGATATAAATCCTCTCCTTTACCATTCTGGCTTGGCTTTAGCGGTGGTTTTCATGACACTTGTGTTCGGGTGGCAAACCCATTGCAAAACAGGGAGATGTTCTTATGGAAAGATTTCTGACTGCTGATCGAATTTATTCGGTGGTTATAGGATTATTAAGTCCTCAATTTTTTCTTTGAGCCATTTTAGTTACTTGTATTTTTGATGAACTTAACCATTTTGTCTAAATTTCCAAATTCACTGGAATAAAGCCGTTCCTATTATTCTTTTATGGTCTGGAACATCTGTAATCATACCTACCTTCTACATTCTTTTTTCAAAGTTTTATTTATTTAAGTATTTACTCTACACCCCACATGGGACTCAAACTCATGACCCCAAGATCAAGAGTCATATGCTCAAGCGACTGAGCCACCCAGGTGCCCCAAGAACGGAGCCACCCAGGTGTCCCCAATTTCCTATCTTAAAGTAGTTTTGTATCATTTATTACCAGTATTCTCATCTGCAAAATGAAGATAATACTTTTTGCCTCTAATTATATAATTGGTTTGAGAGTCAAAGAATAACAAACATGGAAAGGAATGTGTTAAATTATATTCTAATATAAAAATATTTTTAAAAGAAGGGTCACAACAGTGATTTGGTAACATTAATTTGTTAATAATAATCACAGGAGTAATCGTTATTGTCAACCTCAACATCACAGCAGCAACTAACACTTATTAAGTGTTCATTATATGCCAGTGGCTTTTCTAAGCACTCTCTCTATATAATATTAACTCATTTAGTTCCCACGCTCTATGGGGTGGGTACTATTATTGGCAGATTTATACAGATAAGAATATACAGATAAAAAAACTGATGCTAATTTATTTTTTTATGGGTTTGATGTGGAAACCCACTAGTTTTATTTACTTTTCTTTTTCAAGTTTTTATTTAAATTCCAGTTAGTTAACATTTAGTATAATATTGGTTTCAGTAGTAGAGTTTTGTGATTCATTCACTTACATACAACACCCAGTGCTCACCACAAGTACCCTCCTTAATACCCATTTAGCTTACCCACTTCCCACCTCCCCTAAATTGAGGCTAATTTATATTGCCTAAAGTTATATAGCTGGAAGGTGGCAGAACCAGGATTCAAACCCAGGTACACTGGTTCAGAGCCTATAGTGTTAAATCATCATAGCCTGAAGTGAATGAAAAGGATATCAGACACTGAGAAAGTAGTTAGAAGAATATCATAATAATATAAATACATCAAATAGAGAAGATAATGGGAAATTTAAAGGCAGAGAGAAAAGGAGGGAGAAACAGGAAAATAATCAGCCTCTGGTAACTAAGAAATGTAGAGACAAGAATTTAAATTACTAAGGGGCCATTATAAGATGAAAAACTGTAAGTAAGACATTTAAAAAAAAATGAAAAAAAGGGGCGCCTGGGTGCTGGTTGAGCATCTGACTCTTGATCTCAGGTTATGATCTCACAGTTTGTGAGATCAAGCCCCCTGTGGGGCTCATGCCGACAGTATGGAGCCTGCTTGGGATTCTCTCTGACCCCCTCCCCTGCTGGTGCTCTTTCTCTCTCTCTCTCTCTCTCTCTCAAATAATCATTAAAAAAAATGAAAAACTGTAAGTTAAGTTTAGGCGGACTATACTGTAAAATAGAAGTAACAGGTGGCTGGGTGTCTGGGTGGCTTAGTCTATTAAGTGTCCAGCTTCAGTCCAGGTCATGATCTTGCGGTTCATGAGTTTGAGCCTCATATCGGGCTCTGTGCTGACAACTCAGAGCCTGGAGCCTGCTTCAGATTCTGTGTCTCCCTCTCTCTCTGCCCTCCCCCCACTCACACTTTATCTCAGTCTCAAAAATAAATAATATTAAAAAAATTAACAACAACAAAAACAAATAATCCAGTGAAGAAATGGGCAAAAGACATGAATAGACACTTCTCTGAAGAAGACATCCAGATGGCCAACTGACACATGAAAAAATGCTCAACATCACTCATCATCAGGGAAATACAAATCAAAACCACAATGAGATACCACCTCACACCAGTCAGAGTGGCTAACATTAACAACTCAGGCAACAACAGATGTTGGTGAGGAGGCAGAGGAAGAGGATCTCTTTTGCATTGCTGGTGGGAATGCAAGCTGGTGCAGCCACTCTGGAAAACAGTATGGAACTTCCTCAAAAAATTAAAAATAGAACTACCCTATGACCCAGCAATTACACTATTAGGTTATTTATCCAAGGGATACAGGTGTGTTGTTTCGAAGGGCACATGCACCCCAATGTTTAGCACCCCCGTGCTATCGACAATAGTCCAAGTGTGGAAAGAGCCTAAACATCCATCGACGGATGAATGGATAAAGAAGATGTGGTATATACATACAATGGAGTATTACTCAGCAATCAAAAAGAATGAAATCTTGCCTGTGCAACTACGTGGATGGAACTGGAGGGTATCATGCTAAGAGAAAATAGTCAGAGAAAGACATGTATCATGTGACTTCACTCATATGAGGACTTTAAGAGACAAAACAAATGAACATAAGGGAAGCAAAATTAATATAAAAACAGGAAGGGGGACAAAGCATAAGAGACTCATAAATATGGAGAACACAGGGTTACTGGAGGGAGTGTGGGGGGGGGATGGGCTAAATGGGTAAGGGGCATCAAGGAATCTACTCCTGAAATCATTGTTGCACTATATGCTAACTAATTCGGATGTAAATTAAAAAAAAGAAAATTAACAACAAAAAAAGAAAGAAATAGGGGACCTAAGAGTCAGAAAAAAATCTCAATTCTATTCTCACCTCTTTTACTAAATTGACATTTTACTTTTGGGCAATTTCTTAACTGCACTGGGCTTCAGTTTTCTCATTTTGTAAAAAGAAATAATAAAATTCAATATGCTTCCCTGCAAAGTTAGTCACCGTGAGTTGCAAATAACATTTGTATAACAATTTTGAATTTATAACCTATTTCTACACAAACTGTGGGAGATCAAGAATCACACACTCTACTGACTGAGCCAGCCAGGCACCTCCATTTTATGTACTCTGACGTGGGTATAAATCTGTATTACACAGCACATTCAAGTAGGACCAAAATAAACACCTCAACTTAATAATCCAAAGGAAGGAAAAGAGATCATTCTGTTTTTAATGGGTTAATACTAACAAATGGATCGGTAATATGCAATAGTCACATTATTTATACAAGCATATAATACTATGCTAGTCAATATATAATTTGAGTTAATATTTAACTATTTTGATTGTTCCATATAATTGTTTATCCTCCAGATGGGTGTGTATGCCTCTTAAACCAAATAAACAACTTGCAAATATGGGTGAAACACCAGGAAAACACTTTTTTTTTTAATTTTTTTTTTTTTTTCAACGTTTATTTATTTTTGGGACAGAGAGAGACAGAGCATGAACGGGGGAGGGGCAGAGAGAGAGGGAGACACAGAATCGGAAACAGGCTCCAGGCTCTGAGCCACCAGCCCAGAGCCCGACGCGGGGCTCGAACTCCCGGACCGCGAGATCGTGACCTGGCTGAAGTCGGACGCTTAACCGACTACGCCACCCAAGCGCCCCAGGAAAACACTATTAATACAGAGTAAAAGTAAGATCAAATGTTAAGTATTCCATACTTTGGAAACACTGCATACAATTTCATTAAGGATAGAATAAATCAATACGAGGTTGGGAATAAATATTTCCATATCTCTTTAATTACACAGATGTCATAGAGGGTGCAAGATTTCAAAAAGACTGAAAGAAGAAAGGAAATGTGTAAAAGAATATGGAAACAGAAGAAACAGTTGGAAAGTACTCCCAACCAAAGAATATGACCAAGAGATATATATGGTCAAGGTAGTAAAGAGGGAGAGAGTAAATAACAAACAAGCTTTCAAAAAGGGAAGAAAGAAGGGCGCCTAGATGGCTCAGTTGGTTAAGGGTCTGGCTTCAGCTCAGGTCAAGATCTCAGGGTTTGAGAGTTTGAGCCCTGCATCAGGCTCTTAGCTGTTGGTGGAGAGCCTACTTCAGATCCTCTGTCTCCCTCTCTCTGTGCCCCTCTCCAACTTGATCTCTCTCTCTCTCAAAAATAAATAAAAACATTAAAAAAAAAAAAGAGAGAGAGAAGAAAGAATGTTTAAAAGAAAAATATGTGTATTAGTGGGAAAGTTACATGAACAATTTGAGCAAAATATCCTTCGGTCTTTAAGCATGTAGAATTATTAACAATTCTTACTAACAGGTAAAAAGGTGAACTAAAATTTGTAATTTTCTAAGCTTAGATCCCAAAAAGCAGTAAGAATTTACTTACTTCACTAGAGCAGCTGCTTCAGGAAGGACATCAGCAAATGATTCACGGAAAATGATTGCGTTTTTCCTTTTGCAGTTCTGGATGACATCATTAGCAAGGTAGAAGAGATTCAAACGGTGGGGATAGGCAGCTAGAAATGACAAAAGACAATAAATTAAACCAAATGAGTCAAATTACACTTAGTTCAATTATTCTAAATACAGTATTCTCAAACTGTGTAAACTATTATATGGGTGTATAACAGATAAACAGAAAAATGAACTAATGGATCAATTTATTGAAATTGGTACCTAAAAACCTTGACTACTTCAGGTTAATTTTCTGTTCAAGGTGCTCCTTGGGTAGATTTCCATTTCACTTTGTAGATGTTTGGCACTAAAAACCTCATTATCTCTGGAGAAGCTAAAATGAAATTGTTCTCCGGAAGCTCAGCTAACTCCAAATACACCAGGGTTAATGGAAAGAGTATGGGCTTTAGAACCACCCAGAATGTGACCTTAGGCAAACTGCTTAACCTCCTCTACATTATTATTGTAGATAGACTCTTTTTTTTTTTTTTTAATCAACTAGTCCACATACTACTCAGATACACCTAAATCCTGCTATCTGCTACTTACAGCACTAGGTCCTAGGACATAAGTAATTTTACCACACACCTAGATCAAGTTTTTCAAAGGCCAAATCAATCTGCCTTCTAGAACCTCAAGCAAAACCACCCCAAGTTTCATTATATCCTAGACAAGTTTAATGTCCTTTTGGATGATCCATCACATTTTCCAGTCTCTCAATATCTTATCTTAAATTCAGTGACCTCCAAGAACCACTCTTCTGTGCATTTTAAAATCCCCTTTTCTGACCACAGCCTCCTACTCCCCTTCTATCTGTTCATCAAGATCTAAGTTCTATATTTTCTCTAACTTTAGTCACTTTTTTTTACTCAATTTTTTCTCTATCAATTCCACAGTCTTTGATCTATTATTTAAACCATTCTTTTATTAAAACGTTCATTTTCGGGGCGCATGGGTGGCTCAGTCGGTTAAGCGTCTGACTTCGGCTCAGGTCACGATCTCGCGGTCCGTGAGTTTGAGCCCCGCATCGGGCTCTGTGATGACTGCTCAGAGCCTGGAGCCTGTTTCAGATTCTGTGTCTCCCTCTCTCTCTGACCCTCCCCCGTTCATGCTCTGTCTCTCTCTGTCTCAAAAATAAATAAACGTTAAAAAAAATTAAAAAAATAAAAAAATAAAAAAAACGTTCATTTTCTTTTCCTTTTCTTCCCTAATCTAGCCTTTCCATCACATGCATTCAACAAAATCCTAAATCTGGATCAATCTAAATACCTTTACTGCACCTTTATTTCTGCTCCTGGATTGTGCTGGAGAAAAATCATACCATCAGGAGGACTGAAACCATATAAATTTAATCTCCTTCAACTGGGCCCTTGCCACTACAATGCTACAGTGCTTCCACATGTTCTTTTTTTTTTTTTTGGTAATCTTTATTTTTGAGATTGAGAGTATGAGCAGGGGAGGAACAGACATAAATAAAGGGACACACAGAATCTGAAGACGCTCCAGGCTCTGAGCTGTCAGCACAAAGCCCAACATGGGGCTCGAACTCAAGAACAGTGAGATCATGACCTGAGCCAAAGTCAGACGCTTAACCGACTAAACCACCCAGGTGCCCCTGCTTCCACATGTTCTTAATCAGCATCCTCTTTCATCTGTTAAGAGTGATTTCAAATTTTTACCACTCTTCTCAAGCCCCCTGTTTCACCACATTCCTTCTCACTCTCAACAGATAAGTTTATATGCTACTCTACAGAGAAAGCAGAAGTCATTAGATGGAAATTCTGTTTTCTCAAAAAATGTATCCATATTTAAACCCAACCAAATCGGGGCGCCTGGGTGGCGCAGTCGGTTAAGCATCCGACTTCAGCCAGGTCACGATCTCGCGGTCCGTGAGTTCGAGCCCCGCGTCGGGCTCTGGGCTGATGGCTCGGAGCCTGGAGCCTGTTTCCGATTCTGTGTCTCCCTCTCTCTCTGCCCCTCCCCCGTTCATGCTCTGTCTCTCTCTGTCCCAAAAATAAATAAACGTTGAAAAAAAAATTTTAAAAAAAATAAAAAATAAATAAAAAAAAATAAACCCAACCAAATCAACTTACCTGAGTCAGTTAAGATCTTTTAGATTCAGGTATCTAAAAGAGTCCTCACTGTCTCCACTTTAACTCCTGTAACTATACGAGAGACTTTTTTTTTTTTTTTTTTTTTTTTTTTTTTTTTTTTTTTTTTTTTTTTGCTGTGCTTAAAATATACAATCTACTATGCTTAAGAATTTTACACAAATTATGCTATCTCATTTATGTTGCCACCAAACAGCAATTACCAAGGTTACCAGTAAATTCCAAATTATTAAACCCAATGAAAAAATTTAAAATGTTATTTCATTGTGGCTTCTGGCACAATGTTATGTTATGGTAATTCCTCTTTCCATTTCTGTCACAGCCACCTTCCTGGTTTTCCTACCTCTCTGGTTCCTTCTCCATATATGCAAATATCTACATATATGTGCAGATAGACTGCTCCATCCATGACCATCCTCCTTTAAATGTTGAAGCTCCCCAGGGTTCTCTCCTGAGCACTCTTCTCAATTCACCCATGGCACGATGTTTTAACATTTCAGGTTTTAAGTCAGATAGTTTACTCCATTCCTGACTTTGTCGCTTATCAGCCTTGGGGTTTTTTTATACTACTTAACTCTCCTATATTACACTTTCTTTTTCTTTGTAAAATGACAACTTCATAGAGTTGTTATAAGAATTAAATGAAGGGGCGCCTGGGTGGCTCAGTTGGTTGAGCATCCGACTTTGGATCAGGTCACGATCTCATGGTTGAGTTCAAGCCCTGTGTCGGGCTCTGTGCTGACAGCTCAGAGCCTGGAGCCTGCTTTGGATCCAGTGTCTCTGTCTCTCTCTGCCTCTCCCCGATTGATGCTCTGTCTCTCTCTCTCTCTCAAAAATAAAAAGAAAAGAATTAAATGGAACAATGTATGTAAAGCATCAGGACAGTGCTTAGCACACAGAAAATGGAATGCTACCTGCAAAACCGTCCACTTGTACCACTTTAACTCCCACCACTTATGCATCAATGACTCCCATGTCCACAGATACCAACCCTGGATTTCCCTTTATCAGTCAATGCACACACCCACGTCCATGTCTCAGAGGCACCTTGAGCTTGATTTTTCAATATTTTATTACTAATCTTCCTCCTCTTCTGTTACTGCTCTTGTATTTGGCCAGAATTTTAGCAACATTTTTGGACTCTTCCTACTCCATAGGAGACCCTCACCATATTTGATAAGTCTCCAAGTCCAGCCAATTTTTACTCCAATAATATTTGTCAAAGCTTTCCCCTCTTTTCCTTCTCTTCTTCCTGTTGCTCTTTGCTGGCTTCATCACCTTTTACCTGGACTACTACTGCAGTACCCTCCTAACTGGTACCTTGCCTCTAGACTTAGTCCCCTCAAGTTCACTCTCTCAATTGCTAAATTTGCTTCTCATTATCTAATTGTCTCCCATATTGAATCTGTCAACGACTTCCAACTGCTCACTGGAAAATGCCTAAACACCACGGTTTTCATTTATGATCTGGATCTTACCTTCTCTTTCAGTCTCATCTCTTCCCCTTCAAAGTTCTATCTTTAAGGAAGAACTCACAGTTCCCAGAAACCTTGCACATGAGCTCACTCTCTCTCTCTCTCTCTGAATTTTCCTTTTCTAGGAGAACCCATCCTAAATATCTTGTGTTTTCTACTCATCCATGGGAAAAAGTCCAAAATTTTAAATTTAATTCATGACAGATTCTGGTCTCCCCCCATCTTATCTCTACTTCTTCCCCAAACAAACCTCCCCAAACTATTTTAATGCAATTTCTTCTCAATGTAAAACCTACACTCTATAGTCAAATCACTATTGAAAGTCAGAAGAATGAGAAAAATTGGCTGAGGTAGCCTGAGAAGATGCCTAAAGGCAGTGGGATTTGAGAAGACCCATCCTGAATGCTTTCCAAACCCTCCGCAGAGTTCTTGCTTACTTGTTTTCTTTAGGTGCAGTTTACTGACCTACAATTTGTTCTCATCATCAAGCCCCACCTCCTACCCTTGTCTTACCACCCATTTCAACAGGCTAATTCCTTTCCCTCCTTCAACTCTCAGCTTACATATGACATCTTCCATGAAGCTTCCCCTGACTCCGTAAGATAAGGCCTTTAGTACATCCTGAACCCATACCTGTCATGCATTTATCACATTGTAGTGTACTTCTCTGCAATTTCCACTAGAGTATAAGCTCCCCAAAGGCTGGAATTCTGTCTTGTTTATTGCTAAGTCCTCAATGACTAATTGAGTGTGTGGCAGGTGCTTAAATAATATATGTTAAATGTCTGATGAAGAAGTTGTATTTTTTTTTTTAATTTTTTTTTTCAACGTTTTTATTTTATTTTTGGGACAGAGAGAGACAGAGCATGAATGGGGGAGGGGCAGAGAGAGAGGAAGACACAGAATCGGAAACAGGCTCCAGGCTCTGAGCCATCAGCCCAGAGCCCGACGCGGGGCTCGAACTCACGGACTGCGAGATCGTGACCTGGCTGAAGTCGGACGCTTAACCGACTGCGCCACCCAGGCGCCCCTGAAGAAGTTGTATTTTTGTAGGCAGGAAGAGTTTTCTATGTGCTAGACATTTTTAAAGATGATACAAATATTTACTTAATTTATTTTTAGAGAGAGTGAGTGTGAGCAGGAGACAGGGGCAGAGGGAGAGAAATAGAGAATTTTAAGTAGGTTCCATGCTTAGCACAGAGCCCGATGCAGGACTCAGTCCCTCAACTCTGGGATCATGACCTGAACTGAAATCGAGAATCAGACACTCAACAGCCTAAGCCACTCAGGCACTTCAAGATGACACATATATTAACTGATATCCTTACAACAACCCTATGAGGTTGGTACTATTAGCTGCATTTAACAGATGGAATGGCATGAACTGTCCAAAGTATGAAGTATGAAGTAAGTAAGTACTGAAGCTGGAATTTAAATTCAGACAGTCTGAGGGCACCTTGGTGGCTTAGTCAGTTG